ATACGAAAACTGATGCGTAGAGTATATCTAATCAGCCTGATCAGAATCACTGGTTAATCCTATTTTCAAAAATCGATTACTCAACCATTGCGCAAACTACACCGAGAAGAATTTCATCCAGATAGTAGCCGAACTCCTAGCCTTCGTAACGCTACACCACCTTCTGATAAAGCAAGAAGGGTGTATTTGTCCTTTATGCTCTATTTCGTCTTGGACACAACATCCGAGAGCGATCTAAGTGGTCTCATAAAGGTTGGTAATGAGTGTGCGGTTCGACAAAATCTGTACGACCTGGAATACGTTAAATAAATTGTTTTTCTTTGCTAGTGTATAGTGTATATAGCGCACTATTTTCTCCTTCTTCATTTTACTTTTACATTTGATGACCTCAGCACCGGGCCAGCAGCGCTCGAGAGAATCACAACAGATATTACATATTCCTTCATGTGTTCTGCACCTACCCAATGCAGAATGCCACTACATTAGGTTTCGATTACACATGCTTCAATTCATAAAACCAAAGATCAACTACACAACCAGCTTTGTCCTTCGTTTGTGCTCCCCGTGTTAACATCACTGATTAACTGCCCTTCACCATCACCACAACCATGTTCAAGCATATTGCCTTCCTATCAACTTCATCTATTCGTATTTACACCATACACAATATCAGCTAAGTGGTGATACGTGAAGTTCATTTCAGTGCATTCCACTGTCCAATGCTAGTCCATACCTACGTGAAGCGGTGGTCATTTGTACTTCTTAGAATAGAAAAGAAAAAGTACGCGGAATAGCAACAAGAGAAGTACATGCTATTGGTTTCAACATTTGCACGGTCTACATAAAATCTCTGGCTGCCTTGTCCAGACGAATACCGATTACCAATGGGCTATTTTCTAATTAAATCGATCGGGCATTCAGTCAATCAGCTATGAGCTAGAGATCACAACTCAGACGGTAAATATTGAGAATGAAAAGCAACTCACACTTCTTCAGATAATCCAGTGAAATTGCGCCAAAAAGCTGGTGAGTTTTGAAACTGATATGTGTAGATACAAAGCAAAACAGCCATCGAATAGACCACGTTGATCCACCAAAAGAACAACATCTGACGACGCCAGAACCGATAACTGACCTGAAGAATAGAAACCGGTGTGTGCACAATGTTTCAAACAGGAAAACAGCAAAACAAATAATGGGAACCAAATATAACCCTCCTGTCCGTGTAAGGGCATAGACTAAAAGGACGCATTAGTTTATTAGGAAACATTTTGGAGTTATTAATTATTTTTTTGTTTCTGCTGGATTATAAACAGTCTTGGAAACGCAAAAACCAAACTTCGAAATGAAACTCATCGTCATTGCTAATGTGCTTGTTAGCGATGACTGGCAATGTGAGCACTTCATTATCAAATACCGTGTGATTACCAGTTAATGGTTGACTATTGTTCCAGATCCTGAAATGTTTAAAGAATAATACTGCCAAGACATCGGAACAGAAACCATAGATGCACTCTAATGGTAACAGAAACTTTGTGAACAAATATCGCATATGGAACATTTCAGGTTGCATGCTCACAGAAAGATGAACACCAAACTGATTGACTGGCAATCTCTTGTTTACCACACATAATGGACAAAAGAAAACATTGTGAGCAGAAGAACCTGATGGTTCCATTTTTAGTCCACACGAAAATACAATGAACTGGAGGGTGGGGCATGAACACCTTCATGTGGGGCTACCGTTCAAGTAATATAACTAACAAACTAAGGCTCGTGGATTTGATAAACTAACCGCAGAAGACCGAGGAGAAATGAGTGGGTGATAACGACCCTGGAGACAAAAGATCCATGAATTTAGGTGATGATGGGATTCCCACTTCGAATCTTTTAGCAAAGAGCACATGGGTAACAATGACTTGAACCGCTAGGCGGCTGCATTGTAAGTCATATCTCTGTTTGTTCTTGTCCGCAATTTTCTTGGACAGCCGCACGGTATTGGCATCCGTTGATCCAGTTCTAACCTTATGTGGTTGGTCNATGAACACGAAGTCATCTTACAATGCGTGTTCCAATTCCACCACCACAAACCTGACTTTCCCCATTCTCTGTGTGTTGTACATTGGCCCATTCATTGGGCGCGTCCCACTTCGTGAAAAACATCATGTATCATATTCAATCTCACGGTCAACATCCATGGATACGGATCACGTCTTGTTACGAGCCAAATTCTCCTTACGGGAAATAAGCTGTCTCAAAAGATATAAGGCCTCCGGTCCGAATGGGTTGCACCCCCCCCCCCACCACCACCACCACCGATTTACAAGGTGATAGATCCTATTGTGGAAACCCCACAGTAATTAGCTTGTTCCTAAACCCTTCGCCAGTACCGTACGCCTTCGATTACTTGCCGGGCGTGAACGATGCGTGTGAGAACGAGCCTGGTTTTAGGCCTGGCTGAGGCTGTAACAGCCATAACTTCATTGTTCGCAAAATTCTGAAACACCGACATTCTTTTGGCAGACGCACTATTTCCATTTTCCTTGATCTGAAAGCAGCTTTCGACTCAGTCGACTGCTCAGAATTCTGGCGCTGCCTTTCCCCGAAGAATGTGACCGATAACTTTCTTCCACATATAACGATCCCTTTAATGCCGACAGCCGAAGCGGCGTTTGATCTTGCGGTAGATTTTCTGCCAAATTCACCACAGAAGGCGGTGTTCGTCAGGGTTGCTCTCCATCTTCCTATCCAACTTTGTTATAGATTTCATTAACGGAACAGCTGTCCTTGTGCAAGAATAGTATTAGGTAATAGAGCAAGTGGTCTAGTTTTGTTATTTGAGCAGTCATATCTCACCCGGTGGACGCATCGCCGACTCACATACAGAAGGCTCGATTGGCATTGGCCAAATTGAGACACCTGTGCACAGTCGCGACGCCCGACTGTCCGTGAATGGTCGAATGTATGCTGTGGCAGTTTGGCCAGTTCTGCTATACAGCGCAGAAACTTGGCCAGTAGGAAAACAGGATAAAGATAGAGTGCCGGTCTTTGAACACTACGTTCCACTCAGCATTGCACGAATCTGGTGGGACAACAGGACAAGCAATACTGAGGTTAGATGCAGAGTTTCAGATAACTGCGGGTGTCCACTGGAGCCAGTGGTCGACCTCCATAGATTACGTTGGTTGAGGTATGTGTTACGCACGTCACCAAATAGATTGTCAGGGTGCGTGCTGTTTGTCCAGGCAGGTGGAAAAAGTCAAGGGTGGTCAAACAAGGGCTTGGCATGAGGGTATGAAAACTCGGCCAAGTAGGTTGCATTAGACTCCCAGGGTAGGGACCTCGGAATCACTGAAATCAACGGTTAGAGACAATGAGTCATATGGCAGCGTGCCATAAACAAATGCGCCCATGCACCTAGTCATTATCTTTGCAACCTCAGTATACTGAAATTCTCCAATATCTCCTCGACTTAGATTTCTACTTGCCAATCTTCCTTCTACCCCTTCATCCGAATGGGCAACCAAAACCGGTGCACGAAAGTGCATGATTAATGGCTGAATAAAATGGAATGAACTGATTCAATAACAGGAAGTAAAATAAAAAGATAATAAAAAAATTACTTTGATTTGTGTTCGTGGAAGGCAAGTTGCATCTGAAATATACAGAATGAGTCAAGCTGTCTAACTGACTGCAACTGCAACGCGCACAACAGCAGGCCTACCGGTCAATCAGGAATAATTGAAGTACTGTTCCCTATCAACCGCATTGACACAAGTCATAATCAACGTGGTGGCGCAGTGATTTAGTCGCTGTCACCGGCGTGCTTTGGACCCTATGGTCCGAGGTTCGAGCCCCGCCACCGCCACCCGACTTTGATGGTAGGCAGCTCTGCTGTCATCCGGTTCAATACCACGCCTACCGATGGTAGGCAGTTCTGCTGTCGTCCGGTTCAATACCACGCCTAATTTATCGGGGCCTTAGGTGGTTCGCCACTTCAAGTCCCGGGGCTCAGGTTGCCGGTTACCATCACTGAACTGCAGGTCCTCGTGACTATGGGGTTCGCCCCGTCTGCTGTTCAACACACTTAGGTGTGTAATTTTAAAAAAACTGAGAGCTCCCATCCTCCAGAGTTCCCCTAGGTCACTAAGGAGGTGACCCCAATAACATTTCCACCGCTTCGGCCCGTCTCCACGCTGAAAATGAAACCTGATACTAAAGAACTATTCTACAGTTAGTTGTAGCACGCGCCTATTAGGTTCCTCAAGAATCGACCAAATATGTTAGAAATAATTGTGGAAGCCATACAGTTAACAATGGGTGGTGTATATGTCCTCAAAATTG